CTACTAGCGATGGCCTCCAACCTCTACTAGCGACGGCCTCCAACCTCCACTAGGGACGGCCTCCAACCTCTACTAGCGATGGCCTCCAACCTCTACTAGCGATGGCCTCCAACCTCTACTAGCGATGGCCTCCAACCTCTACTAGCGACGGCCTCCAACCTCTACTAGCGATGGCCTCCAACCTCCACTAGCGATGGCCTCCAACCTCCACTAGCGATGGCCTCCAACCTCTACTAGCGACGGCCTCCAACCTCTACTAGCGATGGCCTCCAACCTGCTAGCGGGCTGAGAATGAAAAATGACACAAGGGCAAAATCATGTAGACTGAGCATAGGTAGTTGCGCAGGTGATGGCTTCAAACCCATTGGCAGAGCGTCTTCGAAAGGACCGATTCATTGGCTCAAAGGTTGCCCAACCTTTGTGATGTTTGGCTTTTTCCGTCAGAGGAGAAGGACTTCAACAAGATCATTTTCATGATCATGCCATGGAGCCATGGATTTGATGGTGGCTGGGTGGCTCTGTGTTGTGGAATGTGGATGTGACTCCCTAAGGATTTGGCAAGGCAGCCCCATAGATGCCGAGAAGCGCTTTCGCATTTGTGCACGAGAAGCCCTCCATCGAGCATCTAAACACTGCCAGCAGGTTGCGCAAGAAGCTTCAGCCAAAAACTGGAAGCTGCCCGGATATGAATCGGACAGGAGTGGACACAATGTCGAGACAAGATGCTTTAATCACGAAAGGTAGCGGTTACGCTACCTGAGTTTTCAAAGTTTTCCTTTTGCTTTAGCAAAAATTAATTAAAACTAGAGTGGACATCCATCTCACTGAGAAATCGCCTCCGACATTTACTTTTAAGGGCCGAGGGGGGGGCCCCTCCCCCCCTTTCAACTCCACCCTGGCGCGGGTCTGTGGCTGTCCGGCCAAAAACATCAAAACCCGATGGTTTTTGAAGTGTTTAGGCTTCCAAAATGGTCGAAAAATTGCCAAAAACCTGGACAGATTTTGTCGGAAAGGGCTTTTTCGGCGTTTGGAGGCTTCTAAGTGGCACAAAACGACGGTATTTACATGGGTTTGTGCGCCTTCCCGGCACAAAACCCTGTAAATTGCGATGGTTTTGGGCTGTGTACGCTTCAAAGTGGCCACAAAACACCGTAAATGCCTGTGTTTTCATGTGTTTTCAGCTTCTCCTATCTTCAAGAGTGGCCTCAAACCACGCTATTTGCAGGTTTTTTTTGTGGCGGAAAGGGCTTTTGCGGTGCTTAGAGGCTTCAAAGTGGCACAAAGCGACGGTACTTACACGGGTTTCTGCACCTTCCTGCCACAAAACCCTGTATATTGGGATGGTTTCAAGCTATGTACGCTTCAAAGTGGCCACAAAACACCGTAAATACCATTAATTGCCATTAATACTACCTTTCGTTCACCCCCTCCTCTCTCAAGTGCGCTTGAGTCGGTTCGCTACGGGGATACAAACTTTTTGATCTTTTTTGACATCAACTTTGAATCTGCTGACTATAGCTTGAAACGCTTGTGCTGTGCATTTCACAGAGGTTTCTGCTCAAAGGTGGGAAGTGGCGAAAATGTTACCGATGCTCCATGCTCAAGATAGCACCCCAGCATGGCTTGGCTGATCGACGCGCTTGGTCACATGCGCCAATATTTAGCACACCCGTAGATAAGTATACTAATTGAACGGAAACCTTTTCGTTTAGATCGCCAATGTCACAAAGAGGTCCACCTTCTTTTAAGTCACCCGGCTAGGCTTCTGAGAATCTGGCCAGCTGACCAATTTAGCACCAGATGTTTGAATGGCAGCGGCGGCCCAAACTTTAACAATTTGAAGAGATTTTAATGTGAGTAAGATGCCTTCGTGAAAGGTAAACACGCACCGCGAAAGGTTTTGCGAACTGTTCATGTCCGAAAGCTTGCGAAACTAGTCGTTGCGAAAGGAACTTGCGAAAGAAGAGTCCATTACCGTAACTGGTTGGAGGGGTTGTGATGACTTTAAGAATGTCAGAATGATTCAGAATGATATATGGTAATTTTATGTATATACTTTGAAGTGGATGTACTGACGTAGTGATAAAGCGGAACAATGCCATGCTTTAAACTCATTAAAGAATTTGAAGATGAAACTCTTCTCGCACTGTGCAAGTCAAACTGCATAAGTGCAGCAGAACTAGAACCAACAAATTGGCTGGGATTGGGATTCCTTACAAATGCAGTTCCCCTTGTATGACGGCTTTGGATTGCACATAGACGCCCGGTAGTGCAAAACTTGTCCTAGGCTAGCTCGGTCAGGTCGGCATCAAAAAGTACAACCCTTTGCAACTCCTTCAGTTGGCCTTACGCTCTGAGTCCTTTGCTCCTAGTAGCGTTCTTGCTACAAGTAGTAAGGCCAGGAGCCCCTAGTAGCGTCCTTGCTCTAGTAGCGATGCCCTTTGCTCCTAGTAGCGTTCTTGGTCCTTCGAATCGGTTTTGGTCTTCCGGCTTTCACATCAAAACGGATGCAGAGCAGGTTGGTCGCAACTGAAAGGCTCTACAGGAAAACCTCAGAGCGGTAGGGGAGGTGATTAGCTACACTGGCCAGACCTGCAAAAGACGACATGAGCCCTGAGATAAGGTTCAGCACGTGTAAACAGTCGTTATTCAGCCTTTTCGATGAAATGATTTCACAACATGTCCCAAAAAAACAGCTTCCCACAATGGAGCAAGGACGCCGATCAATGAGCAATTCTGAGGTACCTGCAAGGTGCTGTGGCAATACCTAGCATTGGTGGTGGCATTTATGGCTACGAGCCTAGGAATAGTAGCCTTGCACTGGTCGAGGAGGCTTTTGAGATGCTCCTGCAAGTGGAGGCGAAAGATGCTCCCAAATTGTTGCTTTTTGTGCGTGTCAGGGGCCTTCCAGACCTGAGATGGCATAAGCTAAGTATTTGCAGTCAAACATCGAAAGTGTTTTTTTCTTGAACCAGAAGTGACACTGCGTGGTCAGGCAGAACAGCCGAGCTACGCCTTGCAACGGATCGCCTTTGTCGATTCGGACCTGGAGACGGCTGAGGCTTTTGCCTCTGCTGTAGTCGAGGTGAGAACATGCCAAGAGAGCTCAAAAAACAAACAAACACTAGTAACATCTAGTAACAAGGGCATCGCTACTGGTGACAAGAGCAATACTAGTAGCTAGAAGCTACTAGCAACAAAGGCATGGTTACTAGCCACAAGGGCATTACTACTAGTAGCTAGGAGCTTCTAGTAACAAGTTCATCGCTACTGGTTACAAAGGCATTACTACTAGTAGCTAGCAGCTGCTGGTAGCAAGGGCATCGCTACTAGCGACAAGGGCACAAATACTAGTGCTATTAGTAACAAGGGCACCGCTACTAGTGACAAAGGCAGTAACAAGGGCATTGCTACTAGTGACAAGGGCACTACTACTAGTACCTTGAAGCGACTAGTAACAAGGGCATCTCTACTAGCGACAAGGGCACTACTACTAGAACAAGGGCGTCGCTACTAGTGACAAGGGCACTACTACTAGTAGCTAGAAGCTATTACTAGTAATAAGGGCATCGCTACTAGCGACAAGGGCACATCTACTAGTAGCTAGAAGCTATTAGTAACAAGGGCATCGCTACTAGCGACAAGGGCACTTCTACTAGTAGCTAGAAGCTACTAGTAACAAGGGCATCGCTACTAGTGACAAGGGCAGGGCACTACTACTAGTAGCTAGAAGCTACTAGTAGCAAGGGCATCG